GATATTTCGATGGGATGGTGCAGTCCAGATCAACGTACAAGTAGAACAAGTAACAGAAAATCAGGTCAACACAGAGGCTAACAGCGTACAACAGATGAGATAACCGTAGTTCACAGAAACGTTTTTATGAACAAGAGAGAGGTTCAATTTGCAGCAGATTCTTTACGAGAAATGACAAACAAATCCCTGCGTCATTACGCGATTTCGCTGATCTGTCAGTCTTCGTTGAATTTGTGAAAATCTCGGTCGAAATCTTAGTGAATCTTCTGTCAAGGAAGAATGGACTGCAGTAAATCGACCGTACGGCAGCTTTTGGACTGAACGCGCTTTTACAAAGGCGTAATAATAGATGTACGGTGATGGCGGACGTTGCTGGTCATAAGACGCCGTCTGTTTATAAAAACAAATGGGAACGGGGTATCACAGTGATGAAGGATATGTTCCGAATTCTGGAGGTGCCAGGTTAGAATAAAACAAATGCCACTCCGGAATAAAAAGTTCATTAAACTGCATATTTCCTTGAGCAAAGAATTTACTCCACATTGCTACCGTTGGAACCAGTCGAGCAGCTGGTTTAAAGTCGCTAACTTGCGAACTACTGGAACAGCATGGTGTTCTGCGATGGTCATATCAAAATGGGGGAGAGGAACGGTAATAAGGCGAGGAGGCAAGTCTCTTCAAGATGCAATATGCTGTGATTCACATGATAATTCACTACACAATGTGATAGGAAGTACACTAGATTCGTCATAAGGTAAAGTCAGACTTTCCGGATACGAGATTCGGTCTGATCGGTCGTTTTTCTTCCTCTCGAGGTTGATAAATAAAACAAAACACTAAACACCATGCCTGCCAGATAGATGCTTTTAACTCTGCCTTTAAAACATTAGGCACTAATGGCTGATGATAAGAAACGAAAATAAGAACCCAACAGTTAACTCTATAACACGAAGGGTGCCAGAAACAGAACCGTCGTGAAAGTTTAAGGAAGACTGACTTTCCAACGGTTACAAACTTTCCATTTTAAACAGAGGTATTCAGTAAAAATCTACTCAACGGAGTGAGAGCTACTCTACAGATGACCCTAGACAACACAATGGGTATGAATTTTGGCAACTAAATCCTACGTAACAAAAATGAGTGTGACAATGAAAAGAAATTTCAGCCCTCAGTTCGAATGCTGACTGAAGTCACAGCCGTGAAACGGTTATGGGTTCTAGAGTCCCACTGAAGAAGCACGTGGGCTGGCCCTATTGAAACGAAAACACTATAAAGGGCACAGTCTTTCACTGCACGACAACAGAAAATAAATATTGCTTCACAAGCCGCGATGGACAAGTAAAGTGCCTGCATAAATAAAACTGGAGTGTTTCACCCCCTCATGGAAAGTGACGTTCAGCACTTTGAGGAAAACGCTCCCGCCTCACGCGATAATACAGATCCATGCGGAGATTCATCACGATTATTCACGCGTGAAAGCAGTTTATATGAAGACTTACTAATTTTACAGATAAATTTTGCAAGGAAAAGCTTCTATTAACCTCGGTTTCACCGGTTTCAACATGTGACGGGTTTAAATCTGCACTTGCTCTGAGAAAAGATTCAAGATGGAGAATTGCCGTATATTTTCGACAGAAATATGCATGCTTCTCAACGGGGCCTTTCCGATCCGTTTGAGCAGAATCTCCACAAACCTTAATATCCTAAATTACGTTCAATATAGAAACAAAGTGAGGTTAATTAAGAGTTTAGTTAATGTTGACTTAGTTTTAGATGGCACCTAATAAGTTACCTCTTTTGAGCGGTTTGTTCTTAGATCAGTGAGAATTTCGAACAAGGGCCCATCAACTGATGGCGGGAAAATAACACTTACTGGGTTGTTAAGCTGTCCGGACACTTCCTCGCACTTTGCCACTACATCATCCAGTTCTTTTCTTGTCTTATCGCACAACAAAAGCAGTGTTGCCAAATTAGTGCAATCCTTAAGCCACAGGTCTGAACGTCTCTCTTCTGAAATAAGCATTGGTTACTATTTCAGTGGTGGCATTTGGTTTCCAGTGTTAAGTAGCAGAAAGCAAACCGGGTCCTTTCATCAACTTTAAACAATTCTCGTTGTAAAAGTCATTCTACTGCATTTAACTCTGTACTTAAATTCTATATAGTGAAACCTGAAAAGAGCAGATAGCGTATTTATTTATGCACTATGCAAAAATAGGTTAATTGAATGACTGACCAGTACTCAGGTTTCGGCCCATATCTCACAAAACTTCTTAAAAAGTAAATAGGTTGACTTTTGAAGATTTTTTAATCAATTGTAGCCGTTTTTCAAAATAATGCTTGCATTGATTTAGGGCCGGCTGTGATCTTGAAACTAACTAAACCAATATTTCTGTTACTTACCAACGCGCCTTCTTAAGGACAAGCAATAGCTTGCGTCTTCGGCATTGCTCTCTCTGCGTAATAGCACCGAGTCTCAATTAATTCCCCATGGCGTAAGTTATAATTTTCTGGAGATAAAATTGCCTCTTAAATGTCAACAGTCTCTCATAAACGATCTAGAATTCCAAGTTATCGAAATAAGGATAGCTGACGGAATCTGCACTGAAGAATAACACAAGACTAGCATTCGCGTCCTCTACATGACGGCAATTCAATCAGTTTGCACTGCATTAATATTTCTGCAAAGGACTTTGATTTATGCAGGATT